ATTTCTTAAGCAAGGAATACTTGAGGTACACACATGTGAACATTGTAATATTTGAAGGATAATATTTTAACGACAACTAGCAGCCATGTGGGATGGGTAGGTTTCAAAGGGCTGCTGGCCAATAAAGCAAGCTGTTCACTTATACTGTAATCACTGTATATAATTTGCACATAGGAGGTTGTCTAGAAATCCTTCAAGCATTCCTCCTGCTTGTGTTACTTTGAATATTTCGTAAGCTTCACTTTCTAGCAACTTTACAGTAGGAGATTGACTTTGTGCTGCCACGAGATTCGGAGTGTTGCTTTATTTATTTCACTGATAGTATTTCATATTCAAATGGAAGGGAAATATAGCAACATATTTCGTGATGGTTGGATTTTTCTACTCAATAAGAAAAAAGAAAGATGAAGAGCAAAATATTTTGTGGTATTTTTCACTTACATTCATCTGGTTTAAAATGCTTAAAATGACAGTAAGATAAGTATGGAGCTACGTGGAGCTGGAAATAGAGACAATGCCTATCTTAAATTGATGGCGTGCAAGGAAAGTATCAGAGATAATTGTCTTCTAGACTTCTCTGATTCTGGTTACAGGCTGTCAGAAAAGGGAATGAATGACTTCTTGTCCTTCCTCTTCCTCCATGTTTTTTCCTAGAGAAGATGGGGAGGAAATAATATACACTCCATGCAAGACTTGTACCAACACTCATGAGCTGTCTTTTCACAGTGTTTCATAAAGCTCTGGAACATAGGGTATTTATGGTAAATGGCAAGTTTTAGTCACTGGTACTAAGTAATGTGCTGGTTCTGCTGCTGGGTAAATCCCTCAGATGTTGTATGGGGCCCATCATATCTGTGACTCAGATAGAAATCCTGCTGTTGTTATTAATAGTAGTAGTAGTAGTAGTAGTATTTACTTTTCTCCTGCTTTTCTCCCATGGATGGACTCTTTTCTGCCTCCCTCAATGTTCTTCTGTGCTCCCATCAGTTAAAAAATGTTTCCCAGCGTCTGCTTTCCGTATGTCTTTCAAACATCGAGATGCCAGGCCCCTTGACATCTAGACCATCCCACCATGTAAAAAGCCTTGCTTCCTTTGCATGGTTTGGCGACATTCGCAGACCTTAAGCGTGTGTTGGTGACAAAGCCTTTCTCACCTCACTGATATTAAAAAGTGCTCTTTTAAAGAAACGAACTACTTCATGTCTGTAAGATAAACCAAACCATTTTGGTTTGGTTTAACATAATGTGTATACAGAATTAGAAACACATATGTCCATCAAAGAAGGGATTTCAGTCACAATGAATAAAAAGTCAGTTATTTGTGGTTTACACAATGGACACATTGATTCTTGATGCCTTACGGCTTGTGCTCTCTCTATAGCCTATGTGTATGTCACAAATTAGGTTTTTACTAGTGTTATTTTGCGCAGTGCTTGTGATAGTGTGAAACCTCAGATTGTTGTGGGAAATTAATTTTATTTATTTATTTATTTATTTATTTGACTTGTATGCCGCTACTCCCAATTTGGCTCGGAGCGGTTTACAGCAGTAGATTAAAACAATAAAATTAATTTTAAAATACAATAAAAACAAGAACGGACATAATCCCGAGTTATTCACCCATCGAAAGCTGTCGGAAGAGAAAGTTTTACAGGCTTTCCGAAAAGCAAGTAGGTCTCGGATAATTCAGGTTTCAACTGGCAAGGCATTCCATAAATAAGGGGCTACAATCGAGAAGGCTCTCTGCCTAGTAGAGGACAGATGATAAGTCCGGATGTTGGGGACTTCAAGCAAATTTTGGTCTTCGGACCGAAGTAATCTCTTCGGTCCGAAGTAATGGATGTTGCCGCTGCTCAAAATCAAAAGCCATCAGTAATGAAATGCTGGCAGTAAATCTTAGTTACAGTCGGGGAACATCCTTAAGGATGAATTTACTTTGGTGTGACATTTTGAGAAATGGACTAAAACTAGACATGCAAGATATGCAAGCTGTGGAACTAGAATGACAAATGTACGATCACTGAAGAAAGGATGCTAATTGGGATGAAAAATAGTGGGATGAAAAAAGAGGAGCTCATGAGCATGTGGAGGAGGCTTGGCATGGTCAGAGAAACAAGAATTAATGCAAGAATGGACTGTAACAGGAGAAAGACTTTGGTACTTAAGGGTGATGCTGTGAGTAGAATAGAGCATCTGATGCTGAGGCAGCTGACAAAAAAACACACAATATAAAAGTCATAAGGCAAACTGCACTGACTGATAAACAGGAACCAAAAAGCAGTGGAGAAAATGTCACAGTGCTAAGGCTGGCAGCTACTGTTGGGACATTGGCCAACTGGGTCTACAATAGGACTGGACTGCTTACTATTAAATTGTGATCCCAGGGACCCAATCTAGGGTACTCCAAATTGAGAAATGTGTAAAAATGCCAAACAAAACAACCTCCAAAACCACTTAAGTAAAAGAAAAAACAAATGAAAAAAAAATGGTTAAAATTCCACTTTCAGTGTATTTATTTTAAAATCTTGGGTGGTATTCTGTGTTTTGGGAGACTTTACTCTTGAACCTGTGGGGAAGCTATTAAATCATGATTTTGTGAATCAGAATGTGAATACTTTGGTTGCAGGCTTCATTGTTTTTCTTTCTTACTAGAATGTAAGTGGCACCACTATCATAATGGATTTCCAGCTATTTCCTGTTTCATATTGGAGTTTTCCTTGAATTGTGTTAGTACAAATTGTTGCTAGCATTTCCATTCAGGATCTGTTGTGTAAACTGGCTGATGTTCAAGCTGGCAATTCTTTTTGGGATTATGTGTCTAACTCATCTCTGACTCAGTAGGGTGTTTCATTCCTTAAGACAAATATTTGTCTGTTGAAATTATTCACTGTATTAAAGAAGCGCTTCAAATACAATTATTGGCATTGGTTCTGAGGATTTCTATCATGGCATTTGATTTCAGTTAATCTGCACTTTTGTACTGCCTGCTGTTGAATTGGGCCTCATGAGACACAGTTTTAGTAAAATGTACAACTTCAAGAGAAGGAATGAGGAATACTTGCTTTTAAAACATTTCAGTTTGGTGTGTTCAAAATAGCAATTTACTATTTATCAAGTGACTTCGTAGGTTAGGTTAATGTTTTGATTAACTATTTGTATGTGTAAATTATGCATTCCTTTGGTTGTGAGTTTTTTACGCTGCATGGCCATGTTCCAGTAGCATTCTCTCCTAACATTTCACCTGCATCTGGCTGGAAGCTTCAGATATTCTGTTGGCAGTGAGGCAAGTGGGAGTACATATATACATCTGGGATGTCCAGGGTGGGAGAAAGAACCCTTGTTTGTTTAAAGAAAGCATGAATGTTGTAATTAGTAAGATTGAATTAGCATTTGAGTACCCATGAAGTATGCAAAATCAATCAGTGAGGGTGTCTGCATAGAGGTAGCCTGGCCTTTGTTGCTTAGAGGCATCCTCTGTTTGGGGGGTGTTAGCTAGCTCTTGATTGCTTATTGTCTGGAGTTCTCCTGTGTCTGGGTGGTGTTCCATATTTACTGTTTTTGGGAGTCCAGAAAGCCTAGGAGGGAGGGCTTCCAATTTGCATAGATGTACATTCCTTTCCTTGTAAGAAAAACCCCAGCATTCTATTTCAGCAACAGTAATTAAACTGAATTTAGCAAAACTTTCGACCATGGAAAATATTTTTTTGGGTTTTTAACTATTTCATAAGAAAACTTTCTGTGCACTCTGCTTCCGTATAATGCTTGCTTTTTGCATATGATGTAGTTGTAAAACAGGTTGGTTTTCAGGGCTCAGTTCCAAATTTGCTGTGGTCACCTAATTCTTGAATCAATATTTTATGTTTTAGTTTAGTCATTTTTCAGTTCATCTGTACTGGTGTATTCAAATTGGATATTTGTCATGAAAATGTGGTGCACTGTCGGTGCTTTGAAAACCTGAGACTATGAGGGTAAAGTTCTTGTCCAAAGAATGTGACTAGCTGATGGAACTACTTTGCAGTTAACATAAGTATTTGGAGGATTGTACAGCAGTGACGTTTTTGTGAACTACATCTTTACATGGTGTACTACTTTTGAAATACTTATATTCAGAAAGAAAATGAATAAAATGAATGTTTTGAAGTTTTGCCAGTTTATAGAGTTTTTGGGGGGAAAAATCTAGTATCCTCTTGTTTCATACTTGTTACATGTAGAAATTACTGTGAAGGCAAAATACAGATTTGTCATTTTTAGTATTAGGCCTCTTGCTTACATTGCATGCGTTTGTGGCAAAATATAAGTTTGATGTCGGTGTATGAACAGTGCAGTTTGTGTTTTTAAGTTGAACTATTTTTCATGTTGAAAATTTGGCTGTGTGAAGCCCTATCTGGCTGTTCTTGGCCAGATATTCAAACCATGTGGATTTACTTCCTTATTAAAAATCTGTATGGTCTATGTAAGATCTGGATGGCAATTATAAGAAGCGGTCCATAAACTAGCAAAACTATTAAGAGTAATGTATTGTCGAAGGCTTTCATGGCTGGAATCACTGGGTTGTTGTAGGTTTTTTTTCGGGCTATATGGCCATGTTCTAGAGGCATTCTCTCCTGACGTTTCGCCTGCATCTATGGCAAGCATCCTCAGAGGTAGTGAGGTCTGTTGGAACTAGAAAAAAGGGTTTATATATCTGCGGAATGACCAGGGTGGGACAAAGGACTCTTGTCTGTTGGAGCTAGGTGTGAATGTTTCAACTAACCACCTTGATTAGCATTTGATGGCCTGGCAGTGTCTGGGGCAATCTTTTATTGAGAGGTTAGATGTCCTTGTTTGTTTCCTCTCTGTTGTTTTGCTGTTGTAATTTTAGAGTTTTTTAATACTGGTAGCCAGATTTTGTTCGTTTTCATGGTTTCCTCCTTTCTGTTGAAATTGTCCACATGACAATTTTGAGTAAACTCAGTGTTCTGAACCTAATGAATAATCACCATTCTTCTCTCTATTTACAGATGGCTCACTGTGTGACCAAGGTGGAACTGTCCATATCCTGTGACAATCTGATTGATAAAGATGTTGGCTCAAAATCTGATCCTTTATGTGTCTTGCTCCAAGATATTGGTGGAGAGCAGTGGACTGAAGTAAGGATTCATTTATAGTAACTGGAAAACTGCTAGAAACTGTGGATATGGATTGAGTCTACATTAGAGTTGCTAAATGTTCCTTGTGTCTTATTTAACATGAAAGAAGACACCAACTACCTTGTATTTTCAGATATCAAGCAAACATATTGCCTTACAAATTGCACCTCATTAATTGTGTGTGTGGCTCGTGCTCACTCTTTCAATTCCATACAAAGAGGCACACTTGGTTTGGCATCATCAGTAAGATACATTTCCTCTGCTATCTTGTCATCATTGTGTTTCCAAGGCCATTGGATTCCTATGAGATTTGAGTCTGAAACTCTTCACAAATTGATTTCCTCTCATGAGACTTTAGATAGGCCTTATGATTCCCAGATCTAGAAGGGATACATTTCTGGTCGTTGTGTGGATACACAGAATGGCAAATAATAGCAAACCGTGTTGAAAAGAAAAACATCTGGCTCTAAATTGCTACCTACCACTATTGTTTATTTTACCATATAAAACCATTTTCCTCAATATTAAAACTTGAAAAAGTAAAGTTAGGGGTTTTGTATACATTGCACTTTAATGTATGGCTTGTGCTAGCTACAGCAGCAGGCCATTTTTAATAGGAAACTTCCCTATTCTGAACTGTATTATTAATTTATCTTAGTGCTCTTTACTTTGATTGGCAATAGGTGTTCAGGGTTTCAAACAAGAGTTTATTCCAGCCCAGTGTGGACATGCTGCTAAAGTTAAATATGTATGGTTATATAGGATCAACCCCCTATTATGTGAAAGAATATATTAAGTTTTCCCCATTTTCTTGTTGCTACAGTTGGCTCGAACAGAAAGAATAAAGAATTGCCACAATCCTCAATTTTCAAAGAAGCTACTGATTGATTATTATTTCGAGAAAGTTCAAAAACTGAAATTTGGTGTGTATGACATTGATAACAAATCGTATGACTTAAATGACGATGACTACCTTGGAGGGGCAGAGTGCACCTTGGGACAGGTACTTGAAAACAAACATTGTCACATGCTATATTTATTTATTTAGTTTGGTTACATCTCTGCAAACATGAGGTCCAAAATACTTTATAGAAGTAACTTGTACAAATCTCAGTTTTTAGTTGCACAAATAAAGAAGCAACAAAATGTTAGAAGGCACAAGTTAGAATCTTACCCTTCTTTGGGGGCAGGGGAATCAAGGCCAGAAGACAGTGCTTGTTTGTTTTATTGTTGGTGGCAGTAGTTTTAGTAACTATAAAGCCAGTTAGGTTATACTACCCTGTGACAATTTCTTATGTAATATCTTGAGAGATGTGTTTCCTCTCACACCCATTTCTAGACTAGAAATAGAGATACAGGAACTTCCAATAATACAAAAGGTGCAGCATGACATCTATCTATTTTTTCTATACGTAAGTAAAAGTTGAAATCTGTCCATCATTCTTTTATATTTACATCGTTAACTATCTGGGCAAAGTCTTTGGAAATCATGATAACTGTACATTTCAGACTAGATAAGTAGTTATGATAGAGGTCATACTTTGTATATTATTAGGCTTCTTGACAATAAATAGCCATATTTAGGTTACAGTGTAGCATTTAATAGGATAGAACATACAGTAGCACATATTTTTCCTTGTATCGTTTTCAAAATTTATGAAATTTATGTCTTTAGATTGTATCAAGTAAAACATTCACTCAACCTTTAATGATGAAGAAAGGAAAACCTGCAGGAAAAGGCGCTATTACGGTAAAAAAAACCTCCCGTTTCTTGCTTTTTTATGAATGTAGACAATAACACTGCTAGAAAGTTTAAATAATACTGCTTGCAAAATCAATTGAAATTTAATATACCTGGAGTATATTTCTTGATTATAGTTATTTACAATATCATGTAGTTATACCTTAAGACCGTCTTACAAAAAAGTAAGTAGTACAAACAAATCATTGTAATATTGAAATACTATCTAAGGCTGGAGTATAATAAGTTTTTTTTAATCTGTAGATTTCTGCAGAAGAAATTAAAGACACTAGAGTTATTTGTATGGACGTTGAAGCTCGGAATTTGGACAAAAAGGTAAATTGTGTTTCAAAAGTAACTTATGAGTCCATTTCATAATTATTGAACCAACAAGGTAAATAGCTGTATGTTTATATTTATTTGTACCAGGGATAAGGGCATTACCCCTGCCTTCCTCCTCCTCCTCAGATGTCTCACTCTCTGCAATATCGGAAAATTAGGAACTGAAGGAAAATTTCATGGGGTTGGAGTAGTATTCTTATTTGAGGTTAAAATCCTCATTTTTGTGTGTGTGTCCCTGTAGTTACACCTCTAGGCAATGCTCTTATTATATCCAAAAGAATGACACAAAGTAGTATGCAAGCTTTGCAGTTTCATTGAAGTCCTCATCACAGAAAGCTGGGAAGAAATGTAGCATGTATACAGGCAATCCCCAAGTTACGAACAATATAGGTTCTGTAGGTTTGTTTCTTAAATTGAATTTGTATGAAAGTCAGAATAGGCACAATTTTAAAGTGCAACTCCAGCCAAATGCATATATATGTGTGTGTGTGTGTGTATGTAAATATGTATTAGCTTTGGATAGCATAGGGAAGGATTAACACCCCTGTGGTGTTTGTTTTGCTCTCTGTGCCCCTGTTCAGAAAATTTCACCTCACTTTCTGTCCCTGTGACAGTTGGATTTTGACAAAAATTGGCTTGTTTTGGAAACAAGGATTGATGAGAAAGCTTCAGTTGAGACACCTTTTTCTCTTTCAGGAGTGAATTTCCCTTCAGAGGGGTAGATTCCTGTTATCTCATCTCCATTCTTAACTATGAGTTATTTGTAAATGAAATGTTTGAAATTCTGACACTGCCTATAAAATGTAATGTATATGTATGTGCATATTACCAAAACCAGAGACTGTTTTAAGTGGATGCATTGAGCAGAAACAGATAAGTCCTGAAATGTCCATATATACTTTGCCAATAGTATTATGTATGTAATATATGACAGAAGGATGTGTTGCTTCAGATTTAGATTTCTAATGTTTCAATGAACAAACAATGTATATTTTTCCTGTGCAGGATTTTTTGGGCAAATCTGATCCATTTTTGGAATTTTACAAGCAAAGTGATAGTGGAAAATGGCAGCTTGTCTATCGATCAGAGGTAGGATTTTATCAGCCTTGGACATTAAATGTTGTTATATCTTCTGGAGGAAATACATATCTGGGAGAAAATTAAATTGTAAAATTATTTTTAAAATTTGTTTTAAAAAACAGAAAGCAACAGAAAGCTATTTCTTTGCCAAAATTAGGCAAATATAGCTTGTGCACAAGCAGAATTTTCTCCACAATGTTTTTCTACTTGTGGTTCTTACCATCCAATCTGTTGTCAGTTCTTACTATTGGTGCAATAATGAGCAAGGCAGCAGAGATGTCTGGAAGGGAAAAACTAGATAGGCATTTTGTGTCTCTCCCGGTGTATGTATTTGTGCCTTCAAATGATATACACGCATGCGCGCACACACACACACACAATGTGCCTTCAACCCTATTCATTTCATATGATTTTCTTAGGCAAGGAACACTCAAAGGGAATTTCGTTCTTTTCTTTCTTTGAAATATACTCTACAGCAGGCATGGGCAAGCTTGGTTACGCCAAGTGTTTTGGACTTCAACTTCCACAATTCTTATCAGCCTCAGTCCCCTTCCTTTTCCCCCTCAGCCACTTAAGCAGATCCAAAAGAAATCCAAATCCAAAAGCTTAGCTGGCTGAGGGGGGAAAGGAAAGGGCCTGGGAATTGTTAGGAATTGTGGAAGTAGAAGTCCAAAACTCACAAAGGGCCCAAGCTTGCCCATGCCTGCTCTACAGGATCTGGTATTCATTGTGGGTTTCTCATCTAGGGACAATTCTGCTTAGCTTCCATTATCAGATGGGATCTGATGCCTTTAGAATATTTAAGTCTATAACAGCTGTTAATTCATGTAGAAGTTAGCTGACCAAAATCTCATACTGGAGTCAAACTGGATCTCCATTTGAACCGAATGCTCAAAACTTTTCTTTAGGTAAAAGTAAGAGAATATGCACATGCATTTATGCGCACATAGCCCTACTTTGTTAGTCGTCTAATGTCCGTAATGTTTGGCACAAACATTCTCACTGGTTAGTTACAATATTTAAGTCTAGGAACATAAAGACAGAAAGTTAACTTTTGCGCTTGTCACAATTGCCCAATTCAACAATAAATGCTTTTGAGTTGAATTTAAAATAAAACACCAAATGTATAAATTTGAAAAGTAAAGTTGTCATAAAATACTCATGGAGAAATCCTGTATAGAATTTTAGAGATGAAGAGGAAAAAGCATTACACTTTTAGCAATATACTTTGATTGTGATTGACATGTTTTTGCAGGTAATTAAAAACAATTTAAATCCTTGCTGGAAAAAATTCAGTGTTCCTCTGCAGACTTTCTGTGGTGGTGATTTCAACAAACCAATCAAGGTAATGACAGTTGTTTTTTCCCCCTCAGTATTTTAAAGAAGAACACAATTTTTTAAAGTAATGTCAGAAATAAAACTGCATGAACATGTAGGAGCTCAGTCAGTTTGTCATTGTATTTATACCAAAGTATTTGGTGGTCTTATTCCTTCCCTACCCCACTTCTTCTTCCTTATTTCTCAAATATATAATGTAGGTGCTGGCATGTAGTATATTGTGTCTAGTGGGAGTTAACTCCTCATACTACCCATGATAGATAAGGTTCACATGGTATTCAATGGTATTCGATCTTTATGGTTTCTTGAGACCCCTCTGCAACTTTTCTTTACTTTCATGTCCCTGCATGGGGAGCTAGAGCTGATAGAGGGAGCTTATCTGAGCTCTCCCCAAATTTGAACCTCTGACCTGTCGGTCTTAGTCCTGCTGGCACAAGGGTTTAGCCCATTGCGCCACTGAGGGCTCCATTTTATCCTGGGTAATATGAGGAATTACCCATTTACCGATGGTATGCCAGCGACTTCCATCATTCCATTTTCTCTTCACTTCACTTACATTACTAGCAGCTATTCTCTCCCTCCTGTTCTTTGTTTTCTTAAGAGTTTCAGTATATATTTTTTCATAGTATATTCACTGTGGACAGCAACACAATTAAATTGTTTTTAAAATAAGAATATAATCCGACACACTTAAGAAATGTTTTTTCTTGAAGAGCAAGATTGTGAAGAGCTAAATATCAACTTACATTTTCCAAAGTAAGTCTGAAGTATTGTTAGTTCTGGGGAAAACTTGTAAATATGAACTGAATGTACTTGAAATGCCATTTTGAGAAGGTTCACTTTAAGATTTTTTTTCTTAAACCAAAGAGTTGTAAAGCTTTTAAAAGCCTTTGTAATCTGTTCCTTCTCACTTTACCTCAAAGTATATTGTGCAAATTTATAATAAATTACCTTGTTGATGCTCACAAATAAATCCATGTAATAGGTTATCTACTTTTTGGTAAAACTGGTAGGCCAGATGGTTAACTGCACTGTAATTTAGGATTTTGTGGACAAATCAACCACTGCCACATGGTGGGCTTTCTGTTTTGTCTTCAATAAGTAGAAATGTTTAGTTAAATGAAAGATGCCAATACAAGTAGGTTTATTTATTTAGTGTCAAAAGCATTACATAAATAAATATAAAAACTGATAACGTAGAAGGAGCACAAGCGCCTAAATAATTTTAGGCCAAAAACAGGCAACAGCAACCGCATTGTCTGTAGCTTTAAACAATTCTTCCTCTGTGCCTGAGGCAAGGCATTGTGGACAAGTATGCGGAGTTGTTGTTCTGCTCCGCAGTTGCACAAGGTGGAAGATTCTTTTAGGTAGTGCCATTTTGCCAGGTTGTCTTTTGACCTGCCAATTCCACTTCTGAGTCTGTTCAAGGACTTCCAATTTGCTCATTCTTGGTTTGCCCCTGGAGGAAGACCCTCATGGAGGGTCATCCATTTGGGATTTCCTGGTTTAGCTGCCCAGAGGGAAACTCTGGGCAGCTGGTGGAATACTAAGAGAAGTGCTGGTCTCAGTACAAGTAGGTGTACAGCTATATCACTGTAGAGTAGTGATAGTAACTTTTAAATAGCAGATCAAATGCAGTAGATAAAATAGAATTAGGCCTTCTGATGGCAACCGTTGGAGGAAAACATGCAGGAAAGGTTGTGGAAAATTCGGGACAAAATGAATGCCAGATAAGAAAAAAAAGACTAATTATACGATAAGACTAAATAGACAAGGTAACGTTCATTCCATCTCATAATAAAACAGCATGCTGCTCTTTCTCAAGACATTTGGCGAAGTTCTGGTTATCCTTGTTTAATTAAGGCTACTTGGCAGAAGCTGAGTCATACTTTTATACCCACACCAAGAAAATGAATCTGTCAGAGATTTTTAGTGAAAAATCAGAAGACATAAATATCAAAGACTTTCTCAACTATTTCCTAATCTCAAACCTTCCTTCTTGATGGTTGTTGGAAAATTGGTAAAGGTTTTATAATCTATATATCCCATATCCAATGTGAAACTGAAGGTGCATACTGTAAATATTCATGTTTAAATCTAGGAATTTTCGGCAAAAATGAACTATGCTCTTGCCTTTTACCACTACTCAACGAAGGAGACGGTTCCTAAATGACTTGGCATAGACATTCAGTTCATAGTAGAGTTGATGTTTGATTCGAGCTTGCAGATTTTTGCATGAATGGATATTATCAGGGAAAAGTACTCATGCAAAGTTCTTACAAATAAGTGAGAACTTTGGATTAGATAGTTATGCCCTGACACATTTTGCTGTTGGGTGACTTTCCCCCCCTGTTCCTATTTGTTCTTCTTTTTGCATATGCATGCAGGGTTGCTTGCTTTTGTAACTGGATTTTTACTTAATTTTTAAAATCTTGAAGCAACCATTTTAGTATATTCTCCTTTTATTTGCTTTGAGTTTGAGTTGCCTTTCTGTTGCATACTAAACAGGTGAGTACATCTACTCCGGCTCAAACACTCAATTTGGGGTGTCTCTCTTATATTAGGTTACAGTTAGTGATATGGATGACAGCACCAGTTCAGATTTGATAGGGGAGTTCACATGCATCACCGCAAAGCTGTTGGAAGCAAGAGACCAAGTGGTGAGCAACTGCAATTCTACATTGTAAAGTCCCCCCTTCCATTGGCTATCGTTTCTTTCCTTTCAGGTGCACTGTCATGATTATGATAGTGATGGGTCACATGATTTGATAGGCTCTTTTGACACTAACCTGTCCCAGCTACAGAGTGCAAGTGGCAGTTCTCCGGTGAGGTTTTACTTTTACATTTTTTTTATTAATTAAACAAACCAACTGCAAAGAAAAATGATAGATTTATTCTAGTTTCCTTCTAAAATTACTTGTGGATTTGCCTATTGCTGCAATATGACATAAAGAGGCAGATTTGTATCCCAAAGCTTCTGAAATAATTCTTTTGAGAATATTAAGAGGTGTCCTCATGTGTATATGCTTTTTGTTCTATTTTCTGCTGTGTGGATGGCAACCTGATTTCTGAGGACCTCAGTCAAGTAGATATTAGCAAATAAAAACAAAACTATAGCTGAATGGCTATGTTTGTCCAGACTGCCATAGCACTATAAATCAATGTTAAAAACCCGATGTGGTTTTGGAAATTTGAAGACTGGGGATCCCTTTAGCTTTTCCCAGCTGACAGATTGTCAGCACTGAATCAAATATAAAAGAAATCTAACAAATCTAACCATATCATTTATGGCATTTTACAAATGAATTAATGCATTCACAGTTCCTGCCCTTGGTTTCCTTGCAATCTGAAATATTTAGCCATCTAAAACAAATAGCTTGTCTTTGGAGATCTCTAATACAGTCGGCCCTCCATATCCATGGGTTCTGAGTCCATGGATTCCATGAAACACAACTAAAAAATATTCCGGGGAAAAAATTCAAAAGGCTGACTTTCTTTTTGCCACATGCCAAGGACTATGCTTATGTGTAGCTGTACCCTTTTGTAGACTCCCACCATTTCACAGATCCTCAGGCTCTCTCTGACATTTGTCTGTTTGGTTTGCCATTTTATATAAGTGATATCATTTGCATATAATGAGATTTGAGCATCCACTGATTTTAATATTCATGGTGAGGGTGGTCCTGGAACCAAACTCCAGCAGATGCTGAGGGCCTGTTGTATTTTATTTGTTTTTGTGATTCCAAATGTAAAATTATTGTATAGGTGTCTTTATTAGAATCAACTATACAACAGTCCTAGCTAAATGTTCCTGGAACCCAAACATAAAGTATGTCACTCCATTTTTTAGATGACCCACGAATGTGTTTCCCTGTGCAATGTGCACAGTGTTTTCCCTGTGCAATTTCCTAGCATCCATTAACACTAATTTTGTTTCTGCTTGCATGGATATATTTATTTTCTGTTGTTCATTCTAGCATTTTAGCCTGTTCAGTATACAGATGGCAAACATATAGTAATTCCTCATATCCACTTAAGAACTTACTTTATATATTACAAGTTATTCAAAGCAGTGCTTATGTAAAAGTTTTACAACTTGAATTGAATTCATAGCTCACATAATCTTTGTGCCATGTGTTGCTTTTTTCTAGGTAGAATTTGAGTGTATTCACCCTGAAAAGAAGAGAAAGAAAAAGAGTTATAAAAACTCTGGCATTGTTAGAGTGAAATCGTGCAAGGTAGGAACCATTTCATGCAGGATGAAGAGCCCCCCCCCCCCCCCCCCCCCCACTATTTTATTTCCACTATTTTTTCCACTATGTTGTTGTACAAGTTGTAATTATATTGTCTTCTTTCAGATTGAAACCGAATATTCTTTCCTGGATTATATCATGGGAGGCTGCCAAATTAATTTCACTGTGAGTTGTCATCTATTTATTAACAGTGTGAGTTAGGGTTAGCGTTATATGAGGGGGGAGGGCCAGTTAAATGGTACCCTTATTAAATGATGAAGAAAAGCATGCTTGCATTCAATGACAGTGGCTATATCCACATATAATGTGTTTGTATATACACACATCTTGTAAATTGAATTCATACCTTCAAGTAAACTGTTATGGGTAACCTAACAGCTTTTAATGAAGATACTTAGTTTGGAATGACAGGAAGGCTAACTTTCAGTGAGTTGTTCTAAGTTTACCATCTGTATTGATGAATTTCCTGCAACTACTGTATTTGATAAATGTCGGGATACAAATAAAGATATTATTATTATTATTATTATTATTATTATTTATTACCATTGCACACCTTGATCAACTTTTTGGCTTTTGGAGTTGATATTTTAGCAACTTTCTGTATTGCTATTCTTTCTGCTTGAAGTCATTTTGTATGATGTATTCTCACCCATCCACTTTTTCGAGTTTATCTTTATTTATTTGTGGTCTTTTTTTTCCTTTTTGGCAGGTGGGCATAGATTTCACAGGGTCCAATGGAGATCCAAAATCACCAGATTCTCTTCACTATATAAGTCCAAATGGGATAAATGAGTATCTCACTGCCATCTGGACTGTGGGGAGTGTGGTCCAGGATTACGACAGGTGTGCTAAACAAATTTAAACTAATCCATCTACAAGCTTTATAAGGTTGTTGTTATTTTGAGTTAAATAATGTCAGTGTTCTCAGACATAGCTGACTGTACATTTCATAGTCAACTTGAATGATTTAACTGTTGGACTACGATTCTGGAGACCAGGGTTGGAAACCCCCCCCCCCCCTTTAGCTATTAAACCCACCAGTAGACCGTGGGGAATTCACACTTCCTCAGCCTTAGAGGAAGGCAATAGCAAACCTCTTCAGAAAAAATATTGCCATGAAACCTTGCGATAAGTTTGGTCAAGGTTTGGTTTGTCTTGGGTTGCCATAAGTCAAAAGCAACTTGACGGTGTACAGCAGCAGCAACAATAACTATCTGAATATACTGTTGTTGAGGAGGTGACCTCCATGCTACTTTGTCCTCCATGTTACTATAGTTTTTTGCTCTTCATTCAGACAAGAACCTACATTTCTTGTCTAGCTTCTGCCAGTCATCATCATCATCTTACTGATTTCAGCAAGTGTAAAAGTTGTAGCAGCTATGTTAAAAACAAAAAATACCATTGTTTTTTGTGAGATGACAGTGAATATTAGCAAAGCAGTTTCTTTTTGAGTTTTGAACAGAAGAAAAAGCCAACTCTATTGTAGCACAGTTTCCAGAATTCAGTCTCTTTGATTGTTATGATTTGTTCCAGTACAGCAGCACACAGTTTCTTCAGTGTGCATCAATATTAAATATAGATTCATTTTGTTTAACCACAGTGAAAACAACACAAACATAATGTATTGATTTTTATTGTTACTTTCTCCTTCAGTGATAAACTCTTCCCAGCCTTTGGATTTGGAGCTCAGGTACCTCCTGACTGGCAGGTAAATTCCTCAAATCAAGTATTTTTGTGAGCATTTGACTGTCTTTGTCTATGTAGTTCTCTAATTTCTCTATTTTCTCAGGTTTCACATGAATTTGCATTGAACTTCAATCCTACCAATCCTTATTGCCAAGGTAGGTATTTATTTTTCTTTGTGATCTAATAATAAACCAATAGAAAGAGAATGAGGCAAAGATTCTTCAATTAAAAATTAAAACAGGCACAGGCATGCTTCAAATAGTTCTCTCAGGATAAAGTGATTGAGTGTCCTGAATATAATATTGATATGGTTCCTCTTAACAGTAAATTGTGGGTTCCTCTAGCATTGGAGTTCTGTGATGATAGTTGCAAGACAGTGGGTAAGAAACAAAGATAAACAGCTGTATCACAAGACTAGAATTTGTGCTACCTGACATGCAGTGGACACATCTGAAAGTGTCCATTGCAGTTGCACCCATACCTTGGGAAGTCGGTGGTCCACGTACTTGTTACGTTCTAGAATAGACTACTGCAATGCACTCTATGTGGGGTTGCCTTTGAAGACTGTTTGGAAGTTTCAAGTGGTCCAACGGGCGCCAGCCAGATTGCTCACTGGAGTGGAGTACAGTGAGCATACAACTCCCCTGTTGTGTAAGCTTTACTGACTGCCTGTCTGCTACTGAGCACAATTCAAAGTGCTGGCTTTAGCCTATTAAGGCCTAAGCAGTTCTGGCCCAACTTACCTGTCCAAATGTACCTCCCTCTATGACCCACCTTGGAGACTAAGATTGTCTGGGGAGACCCTGGTCTTAGTCAATTCAAAGTGCTGGCATTGGCCTTTAAAGCCCTAAATGGTTCTGGCCCAACATATCTATCCGAACGTATCTCAGCCTATCAGCCCACCAGGACCCTAAGATCTTCTGGAGAGTCCCTGCTCTCTGTCCCTCCGGCTTCAGAAGTGCGGCTGGAGGGAACGAGAGACAGGGCCTTCTCTGTGGTGGCCCCTCGGCTTTGGAATGCCCTCCCTATAGAGATAAGATCAGCTCCCTCGCTGTTGGTATTTCGAAAAAAACTTAAGACATGGATGTTTGAACAAGCATTCGGGTAATCCGGTGCGATGAAGTTGATGACAAGGACTGGTAATTATTGACGATGAATTCGGATTATGATTTTAACTAAGAGATGCATTGGTCGGTATTGGTGGCCCGATACTGTGTACTGTATATGTTTTTTATGCTTTTAAATTGTTTGATTATTGTTGTTTTTAAGTACTGTTAACCGCAATGAGTCGCCGTTGTAGGCTGAGATATTGCGGTATATAAGCATACAAAATAAATAAATAAATAAATAAATAGTCCCACCCTGCTCGCAAGCGCGATTGGTGGGGACAAAAGACAGGGCCTTCTCAGTAGTGGCCCCTCAACTGAGGAACTCCCTCTCCAATGAAATTAGATTGGCCCCCCTCCCTGCTGACCTTCAAGAAAAAACTAAAAATATGGCTCTGGGACCAGGCTTTCGGTCAATAAATGGGACAGTACAATAAGAGACTATAAAATAACACAATGATGGCTCGGACTGACCCTGGAATATGACCTGAATTGTATTATTTTAATTGATGTTTCAATGTTATGTTTTAATTGGTCTGTGTATATATGCTGCATCAAATTGTTGCCTTTGTAAAGTTGCCCCGAGTCCCCTTCAGGGTGATATGGGTGGGATACAAGCATGGCAAATAAATAAATAAATAAATAAAGTGCCGAGAAACATGGGAGGGAGTGATGTTTGTTGCTGTATGCCTCATTTTCTAAAAGGAGGCATAGTACCCAAAAGTACCCAAATGATACCATGTTCTATTTGAGTCAACCCCCCTCTTTCCATAATATTCTGAAGTATGTAACCCAAAAACTTTAAACAAATAAACAAACCCACTGTATTTAGTGTGAATTGTCACAGTATGTGTATTCAGTTCCTCTCTATCTTTGTTTCTTTTACAATTTTCACACCCCTATTTCTTCCTGCAATCATCACTTACTGTTAAACTAAAAAAATCTTTCTAGAGCCTTAGTGATAAATGCAATCAGAAAAACCACCCACTGTAGTCAATTTTGACTTGGATTAAAGGTGCAAGATTTGGAGAGTGTCTTGGAAGCTTTCCTCCACTTAGATTTTTTGGTTGGCTAGTGTTTATACCTTGAGGCTGGTATTTCTAAGACATACTACTTTCTCACTGAAAAGCTATAGATTTTTCTTTAATCTGTAGAGTTGTAGGGCTAAAATAATACATTGCAATGGTGCTATATTTGATTACTTAGAACAGTGTTTTTCAAACTCTGCTCCGTCAGATGTTTTGGACTTCAGCTACCACGATTCCTAACAACTGGTAAGCTGGCTGGGATTTCTGGGACCTGGAGTCCAAAACATCTGGAGGAGCAGAGTTTGAGAAACACTGACTTAGTGCAAGCACCATTATAGTTTACCACTTATTTCTAGGGGAAATAAATGAAAGAAAGTACTTAGGGAGAAACAGGGTGAGCTCTCGCTGTTAGCCCCAGCTTCTGCCAATCTAGCAGTTTGAAAACATGCAAATGTGAGATCAATAGGTACCGTTTTGGCGGGAAGGTAACAACGCTCCATGCATTATTACCTTGGAGGTATCTTCGGACAACACCGGCTCTTTGGCTTAGAAATGGAGATGAGCACCACCCCCCAGAGTCAGACATGACTAGACTTAATGTCAGGGGAAACCTTTACCTTACCTTTTATGTGTTTATGATGGAAAGATCCTGCCCCCTTGTTACTCTGCGCTTACCTTTTTTCCCCCATTGCCATCCCGACCAGACATTGTTTTTCTCTCTGATGTCCCTAGAACAATATGGTGTGTTTCAGAAGGTATTAGGGTTAAAACACAGGAAGAGTGAAAATCACACAAATAGAGCCCTGACTTTTCCCCATTCTGCTAATTTTATCGTAAAATTCAGGGATTTTTACCTCAATTATATTTCAAGTGCACACAATCAGATTTCCATGCTCACGTCCTTGAGAGTGACATAGCTAATAAGTGGTCTCCACATAAAGTAATATCTAGACTTTCATAATAACTCTTCTTGTTTTAACTCTCAGGAATCGAAGGAGTTGTGGGTGCTTATCGCCAAGCATTGCCTCAAGTTCGTCTCTATGGGCCAACAAATTTCTCACCAATTATAAATCATGTTGCTAGATTTGCTGCTCATTCAGCACAACAAGGGACTGCTTCAGTGAGTCTACCTGATTTAATCTTAAGTTTTTACTTTTTATATAGGGGAGGCAGCTTAAAATATCTTTGACTGCAAACATTTACTTAGTGTTCCAAGATGTTAATTGTAAATATTTATTGTTGAAAGCTTTCACGGCCGGAATCACTGGAGTGTTGTGTGGCTTCTGAGCTGTATGGCCGTGTTGTAGCAGCATTTTCTCCTCTGATGTTTCACCTGTATCTGTGGCTAGCATATCCAGAGGATCTGATGGTGCTGAAGCAAGTGGAGTACCTGTGGAATGCCCAGGGTGGGAGAAAAAAAATCAATTTCTATTAACTAAGTGTGAAAGGTGCAATTAGCGAGCCTGATTTGCAAGTTTTTGCATGTGAGAATGCCATCAACAGATGCAAGTGAAATGTCATGAGAAAATGCTGCTAGAACACGGCCTTACAGCCTGGAAACCACAGAACATTCCTGCAAACATTTACTTAGTGTTTTAAGATGCTGTGAAATTGACTTTGACTTAATGATGACCTTATGAGTGAGAGTCCTCCAAGTCACCATATCATCAGTGGCCCTGTTGAGAACTTGCGGAATCTAGGTTGTGGCTTCCTGGAATGAGTCTATCCATCTGGAATGCAGTCTTTCTCTTTTCCTACTGCCTTCTACTCTGCCAAGCATTATTGCCTTTTGCAGTGAGTCACATCTTCTTACAATATGGCCAAAGTACAACAGACTCATCTTGACATCTAGGGGGAGTTAAGGATTCATTTGATCTAGAACCCATTTGTTTGTCTTTTAGCTTTTCACAGTATCTGAGGAACTCTTCACCACCACCACATTTCAGATCTGCTTTCTCCACTGTCTAGCTTTGACAACCATATAGAAATGGGAAATTGCAAGCCTGGTGTCCCTTTTTCGGGGAGCATGTATATGCAGTGTTTCCAATCAGTGGGCTGTTGTTTCATTTTCCATATTTGTTGACAGATTTTCATTAGAACTAGACTAAATTCTGTCTGTGTATGCCATCTGTTCCTGTTGATGTATTTCTCTTATTACGAATTAATAGAAAAACAAAAGCAGTTTTCTCTGTACTTTTCCCTAACCTTTGAGCCTGAGAGTTTTGTTCCTTTTATCTTTCTTGAAGAGTAGAGATTAAACCCTTAATGACTGCTCTAATCTTTTTGCAGCAATA